AGTTGAGTTTATACATAAACTCAGGTTTGCAGATGCACCAAAGTTATACATTCTATAGACTATCGGAAAAGGTGTGCCCATTACTTAGCAGGAAAAAAAAAAAAAGAGCCCCTTCACAATTTCCCTCTCAGCTGTCCCTTGGGACAAAGAAGGCTGCACTGTGAAAACAAAAGTAAAAGTGAACCATACCCTCCAAGACATGCTCCTGCTGTTCAGAGAACAAATAAACTTCCTATTTTTTGTCAAAACCTAGCACGCCTGGCCTGTTTACTCCTACCCATCTATTAAACACACAGTTTTTTCAAGGTTTCATTTCTCACCTTCGAAACAAGCCTCTAATGTCAGACCACATTTTAAACCCAATAAAAAATAAATCAGAGAAAAGTAAAACTCTTTGAAAGTCATTTCCCTCTGGCTTAGTGCTTGCTTTAGTCTTGGTTGCAAACCAAGCCCGGAGCACTTAAAACAAGATTTATGAATCAGGCTCTTCAGGATAAATGTTTTGCAATGCACCAGTGGTTAAAAATTAACTCTGACAGGTGTAGAAGGGCAAGGGGGAGAAAGAAAGTCATTTATTTTCCGTCTGGGCTTGAGGGTGCAATATTAGACTTCAATTATGCTACATTAATATTTCTGAATATATCCGTGAAATCTGAAATATGTAAATACACTTATAATGGGTTTCATTCAAAGGCACCCTGAGTTAAATATCCCCTGTTTTACCTTAGTTGCCCTACAGAAATCTGCTTTAGCGACCTAAGGATCAAGTAGGGTAAACATAATACAAAGTGATTCAAGAAAACCTGCTGCTCCGCTTTAACCATTTTTGACTCTTAGTAACAAAGAGAACAGCAAACTGTCAACCAAGTTCTAAGAACATACTGGGTGCTTAGTCTTTCAAACCTTAGTTTTCCTCCCTATAGGAGAGAAGCCTTAATTCACAGGTGTGCTGCTTGCATTAAATGGGTCAGTGTGTAAGAATTCTTTGACAATAGGGAACTTTATCAAAGAATTTTTAAAAATTGTATTTGGAGAATCATTATGCTATGCCTAGTTCTATGCTAGGAAGAGCCGAAAAGAAGGCTTTGTCCTTGAGAAATGTAGCCGAGCAGATGAAACAAACAGAACACCACTGAACGGCTAAATATGAGGATGAAAGACTTAAGGACATAAATGTACTGAATAGGTCGGAAACCTGCACATCCAGCGGGGAGAAGCTCCCTGGGTGCCAAAGAAGAGGATGGCACTGTCAGGGGCTGCTGGGCACGGCGATACATCGTGTGCACTGAGTCGAGGGCACCGGGGCCAGGTGGCGGAGGAGGGCTGGTCCTGAGATCCAGGCGCCTCCACTCACCTGGCTGCACACACAGCCGAGGGCATCAGACCTCCAAGCAGTGCGCCCATGGGGCAGCGACTGCCCAGAGAGTGTCCTTTTCAGATCTGTGTTAAATCCCCTCCAGGCCTTCAGTGGGGAGCACTGCCTGCTAGGATTTGGAGAGCACTAACCAGGAAGGCGGCTAGAGGAGATACAGCTGAGAACGAGGCCAACTCTGGCAGGGTCTCAAACACTAGATCTGACATGAGGATGCTAAAGACATACTATATTGTCACGAGCCTCAGTCCTCCTCATCTCATGTAATTCTCATAACCATCCCAGGAGAGAGGCATTATTCCCATTTCACAGATTGGAAAACAGTTTGGAAAGGCTGAATGAAGGTCTTGGCGATGAAGCCAGCAAGGAAGCAGCAAGAATTGGAATTCAAACATCCAGATCTATCTGACTCATCCTCTTCTCTCCATTGCATGATGTATGAAGCAGGACGGAGCAACTTGGAGCCTGATCTCAAAAGCCGTAACAGTTGCATTGGGGCTGTTCCCTGTATGTGATCCATGGGCGCAAATGTCACCTATTTTTAATGTATTACTTGCTGGAAACTTCAGAGGACTTTTTGAGTGGACACTAACAGCAGCCCTGCTGCCAAGGAAGGTTCCAAAAGTCCAGGCACCAGACAGAGCTATGGGCTGGTGTCCTGAGCCAGGAACCCCCTGCAGACCCAGCCCTGGCTTACACTGGTTGCAGTGGCCCCAGGTGAAACCATCAAGCTCTATGGCCTTCAGGTACAAGCCAAGAGCTGTACAATACTTTCAACTCTAAAGCGAAACTTTGGATGATGCTGTCACTTAAAGTATTTACTGCTTTTTCAAACCTGGTAAAAATATCGAGCCATTATTTTTATCCTTTACAATTTATTTTGAATAAATCTTTGAAACTCTTTCAATGAAATGCTATTTCTTCTTCCCCCTTTCAAGTTGTACCTATTCTTCAAAGCCTGTTTCAAGTTCTGTGTTTTTCCCTATGAGTTTTTTTGTCTATTCAATTACCCTAAAAAGTCACCAATCACATCTCTCAAATTCTTTTTATACTTCCAGTACACACCCTCCCACCTAGAATTTAATGAGAAGCTATGTGCTTCTTATGGGTCTTATTTGAATTGACACGGTGCCTCACACATCATTTGTTCTGCCTTTCATTTCCAGTTCTAACTGGTAACAACTAGAAAAGGTATCTATTTGCCCCAAAACAGTCTTGCTTGTCCTCCACCCCCCAAATATCATTCAGGCATTCATTTCTATTCACGATAATAAAGTTACTGCAAATGAATGATTTATGACTGTTCCCTGGAGGTGCGCCAGTGCTGTTCTTCCCAGCCCCATGGGACAAGCACGTGTCAGAGTGATGATGGGAGACTCCAGGAAAACATCACGTTCCTACCAGGTCAAAGAAGTCAGTTTTCTAACCTGGGGTGTCCCGCCAATCATCTACACTGGAGCCATTCCTGAATACAAAGGTGTGGATAAGGAGATACTGTCCTGGGGTGGGTGGTCTATTTTCACCAGTGAGAGGCACTGAAGCAACAGGTTAATTCCAAAGGTTCTATATGATGTCCAGAATCACATGAGATATCACACAAATGGGGAAATGCCTGCAACTCGGGTTTAAAAATTAATTGGATGCAATTTGGAGGGGGAGAAGCTGCATGAGTTCTGGGATAGTCGAGTAAATGTTCAAGGCTTTATCGATCATTTTCAACAGAGCTGATGGAACAAATCCACCCTTGAAATTGGCACACTACATTCTTAGCAGAAAGAGGTAGGTGGGGTCCATGACATAGCAAGCAGTCTTGAGAGTGCGTGATGAAAAACAGTTGCAGAGCAAGCTTTTCTTGGGTGGAATTAGGCTGAAACTGAGAAAGACATTTAGCCAGTTTACATCAGAAGCAGAAGTATCAAACTCCATCACTGATTCTAGTATACCCCGTGTAGTACAAATGCTTTAAAACTCTCATGGAATGAAATCGTTTGTGGGTCTCCGTTAAGCCCGATCTGGCTTTTCACTTCTATGTTTTCCCCTTTTCTCTGGAGCGGGTTGGGGTGCTGAGAGGACTAGGAACCTCCCCCTTTCTCTGAGATGGATCTCCACATGAATCAGGAGGGAGTAAAAGGAGGCAGCTTGATGCTTTGACCCAGGGCCCTGTCCTGTTCTTGCTGGTCCTTTTCTTCTCCACCCTTGTGATCAGTCTAGAAGGGGTGGTCTATAAACAGCTCTAGTGCCATGTTCACACCAGCCCATCCCCACCACAGAGTACTTCTAACCTGTCACTGCATCATTTCCTACTGAGCCCAAAGGAAGCCTCTGAACACCATCACAGAGCTCCCTAACCATTATCAAGTGATCTGAGTAGTCACACAGATGAAACCTTTTGGCCAAACCTCGGGACTACACACCGGGGCCATACCTGTTAACAGATTTCTCCGATGCTGTGGACCTACAATCCAGGATATCCTCCTTGCTGGGATCTGGAACATTCAGGCTTGCCTTATGGACTATTTCTACTATAGCTTTCACCTGTGGATCCCATATTTTGGGTCTGTCCATAGAAGTCCTGCCCAATACCTGCGTCATGAGTGGTTACCCATCCCATCCTTTAGGTGGGTTTTAAGTTGAGGCCTTCCCCTCTCTGTCCACCCAAATACAATTCAGATACAACTAAGCCTGGCTATGTAACATCCTTAAAAAAATCCGTGTGCACATGCACACACGCACGTGCACACACACACACACGAGCACAGCATAATGTACCAATATATGACTGATAACTGGGTTCCCACTGCTTGCTCATACAGAGATGAATTTGGTAATTTGCATGAGTTACTTGTAATAAGCAACAAATTCATGATGTTTTAATTAAATTCAAGACATAAACTCAGACTACAAGTGATATTACTGGTCCTGAAACCTCTCACTTCACTTCTAGGACCCTCATCACTATTTCTATATGACCAGTTCACTTTTAACCAGTATACAGCAAAGCAAGGTTGTTGAGACTTTCCACAGTACAAGAAAAATACATCAATTTAGATAAAATCCACTGCTAGTTCCACCTACATTTCCCACTTTGTTAAAAGGCTAATTGAATGCCAAGCTGCTTTCGCAGAAGCGTATGGCTTGCTCTAACTTGTTGCAGTTGACCCCTAGTTTCATACTGCTTGCATTACTAAAAATGTTTATTTTGACAAGGCATTTCTTAGCCTACCTGATTCCAAAAAAAACACATTCCAAAATACTTTAAATTATATAGTAATTATAAACTCCCTACTTTGTAAGTATTAGGAAGAAAAACAGAAATGTCAACAAGTAAAATGAACACCATAATTTATGCAGCAACCAGAAGCATCAAGTTGAAGGGGTCGGGGGAGTGCTCCTAACAGCCCTCATCTAAAACCAAACTCATGTAAAATCCACAAACTTCAAAAGCTGGATAATACTGATTATATATGCAGCACCCAGATTTTTTTTTCTTTAAATCATTAAGTAACATGTTATTATCGATCTCAATTTCACGAGAAACTTATGCTACTTCAAAGGAGGTTGAAAGCCACCATTTTTCAGGCTCTAAAAAACAACAGTGAAGAAATTTTAAAAGTTCAGAAGGCATTACCTGGTGCAGGCTGGCGTTCATTCCATTCGGTGGAGATTAAGATTTCTATAATTTTTATGAGGTGTTCAGTATTCTCAGAACTACAAAAAACAAAAAAAAGAGAGGTCTGTTAGAAACCTTGTTCCCTAAACAGCAAACTCATTTTCATTTCTGCACATTCAGGTGACTGTGTCTGATGGAAGTATGCAAATGCATTTGTGAACTAATATCTTTAGAAGAAGCCTAATGACCCATCAACTTAGGACTACCCTCATCATCCCCAAATCCAGGTTTCTCTTCTATCACTTACCTTGCTGCTGGGAATCTGAAAAGCAGAGGGCTGAAGAGTTCAGAAAGTACTCTTGCATTCAAAAGATTTTTGCTGGACGTTTGAGAGAGCTTGAAGAAATGTTTTAGCAAATACTGCAGTGTGAGCCAGTACTGATGAGGTATGCTGGGTGACCTAATGAGCTTCTTCAACAGCTGGATGTATTCTTCAGAACTCTGCACTTCTGTGGGTGAAAACAGAAAAAGCAAGGAAAAGGCTGAGCCTGTTGGTAGCTATCAGTGACTAAACACCTAGATTTCTGTTCTAGCTACAGATGAGTCGTTTAAAACAAAGGCACCAGGAGCAGCAGAGAGTACGTTTGCTCTTCTCATTAGAAAAGGCATTATAAGAAAGTTGAAATCTCATGTCAAATGGAAACGCAAGAAACTCTGGGTGTGCAGAATCACAGGAGGTTCTGGGTGTGCTGCCTGCTGTGGGCCAGCTTTGAGTGTGATTGGCTAACTCCGAGGAGCAGCAGATAAGTATCGCAGGTTTTAACTTTGAAGGTTACGAACCACAATTTCCTGTCCCCAGAGCACTTTAACTGAGCATTAGGTCCTGAAACGGAGAGTCTTCCCTCAACTCATGTTCTAATGGAGGAAGGTGAAGCCAACATCCCCAGTCCCTCAGTCCCAGTCCAGTTCCCTGAATCCAGGGATGATACTTGGCACTCTGAGGCATTCTCTGATGTAGTAAGCCTTAAAAACTGACAAAAGGTTCATGATTAGCCATTCAACATGGGGATGGCCTTCCTAAGCAAATGAGAACCTGGGTCTTCTACTGGATGCCCTGGTAGGGAGGGAGTTTGTGCTGATGGGTGAGGGGGTGGGGAGGGACAGAATCCTATTAACATTTTCTAAGCAATCTCTCTTTATATTGCAGCACTTGAGTTTACAAGTCCATTCACATTTGTTCAAGGAGACTCTCAGAAGAGACAACATACCTGAGGCTAAAGAAATCAGTTCACTGAAAACGGCTACCGGAATGACAGGATTCGGTAAGTCCAGGAGATAGCGTTTGAAGGCATCAGCTAAAACATGCACATCGAACATCTCCAAGTCCAAGGAGGCGGCATCTATGATAGAAATGTGCAAAAAAAAAAAAAAAAAATCAGACATGTTATGCATTGTTTGGGGCGATTTTCTGAATGTGCAGCTTAAATGTGACATGTGGAAGGAAGCAGTATGAGGACAAACAGAAGATGCTTGAGCATTTATTAGCAGTGTTCCTCTCAGGGGTTGCTCCTGCCATTTCGAATAGAGCCTTTTCTCCTTGTGCAGGACTGTCGCCCACACTGTAAGCATTTTAGCATGAAGGCCCCTGCCCCTGCCCATGGTGTCAGAACACATCTCCAGACTTTGGGGCAACAGAAAACAGTGCCTCTGTTGTGGGCTGAATTGTGTCCCCCACAACTCCTATGTTGAAGCCCCAACTCCCAGCACCTCCAAATATGAATGTATTTGGAGATAGGGCTTTTAAAGAGGTGTTTAAATAAAAGGGGCCATTAGAGTGAGCCCTAGTCAACTTGACTTGTATTATAAAAGGCAAGAATTTAGACAGACACACCAAAGGCACATGCACAGAGGACATGGCAAGGAAGTGGCCTCCTCTAAGCCAAGAAGAAGCCAAAGCTGCCCTGAGCTGGGACTTCGAGCCTCCAGAATGGTGAGAAAACAGACTTCTGTTTTTTAAACCACCCAGTCCATGGAATTTTGTTACGGCAGCCATGGCAAACTACTGCAGCCAACACATCATTTGCAAATACGTTCTAGAGATGGGGGTTCTGCCCTGGTGGAGAAGGGTTCTGACTTAAGGATGCTGAAGCACATAATAAAACCTTCCTAAAATCCCAATTTGGAAACATGAAATGCAATCCTATCCTCAGATTTCTTAAAATTTGAGTTGTTCAATATCAGTATCAATTTAACCCAAGAGAGTACAGATGATTTAACAGCAAGCGATTATAGAATTTTAGCAATCTCAAGAAGAGCCATAAAAATAACATGAACATCCTTAGAATGTTTCTCCCTAGTACTGACAGAGTATCCTGATTAAGGATACTTTAATTAAGGATACACTCATTTAACTTGTGGGCACCGAACTATCTCGAAAGAAATATAAGATATGCAATCTGTCCAGTAAATCCTTCAGCTGGAAAAGAGGTCAGGCAATTCAACCCTGGGGTGATGTGAATCACAGCTGCTCTATAGAATGAGGCATACGGCACAGTTGGAAGAAGTGGTGCTGGGGGCTGGAGGGACCACAGTCACTGCTGAAGGATGCACACTAGTGACAGGCAAGACGACTCAAGAGCAATTATCTGGGGACTCGTGAACTCAGTGGAGAACAGTGAAGCTGAGGAGCAAAATGCTACATCTTTAAACAGCTTTATTTATTCATTTTTTCATTAAAAAAATTTTTTTTAGAGGGTAACTGCTTTACAATGTTGTGTTAGTTTCTGCTTACAACAACGTGAATCAGCTATTAAGCATACATGATAGCTCAGTTGGTGAAGAATCTGCAGGAGACCCTGGTTTGATCCCTGGGTCAGGAAGATTCACTGGAGAAGGGATAGGCTACCCACTCCAGTATTCTGGCCTGGAGGATTCCATGGACTGTGTAGTCCATGGGGTTGCAAAGAGTTGGAAAACGACTGAGCAGCTTTTGCTTTCATACATTTGTGGCCTCCCTCCCACCCCCATCCTGCCCCTTGAGGTCACAGCAGAGCACCGAGCCCTGCCATCAGCAGCTCCCACTAGTTATCTCACACACGGGAGCGTACGCACGTCAGCGCCACTGTCTGTCTGTCCCCCGCTCTCCTTCCCCCACTGCCGCAAGTCAGCTCTCTGCGTCTGCGTCTATTCCTGCCCTGCAAATAGGCTCATCAGTACTGTTTGTCTAGACTACACACATTCATTAATACACGGTATTTGTTAAACAGCTTTATCAACTGGGCGTTCAAATAAGTCAGAAAGGAGCACTGCTGGAAGTGCTGATACCACTTTTAGTAATCTGGATTCCAAGACAGTTAGAAAGTAACTAGGAGAAGTAACCTAACCAGGAGACTGATGGGACTGGGTGGTGGCCTAGGAGAGGATGAGAGAGAATCAAAGTTCACTTAGAGATGTTCAGCTTGAGAAGCAGAAGCAGCATCCTGGATGCCCACGAACCAGGGTGATACTATAAAGCACTCAGGTTGAGCTGGAAGCTACCAGAGTTTCTTGAACACATCGTCATCGTAAGCCAAACCTGTCTCACCAGCTAGGTGGATCTTATGAAAGATAATCATATAATATCATAAAGCTCAGAGATATCTATCCAGTAGCAAATAAGGATAGGAAAAGAATGAAAAGGTGGAGAAGCAAAGGGTTAAACCACTTAAATGTCCCACAAAGAACAAACCAGGTACATATCACATCTTTAGTAAGTGTGGGCAAGGGCAAGACTAGGTCTCTGCATAAAGGATCCATGTGGAAAGTAATACAACTACTAGTGTGATTGTCAAAATTGTGTGTGAATCCCTACTGGAGCATTCCATAGCTGCTGGCCACCGCTCCCCGCCCCCCGCCCCCCACCAGCCAAATCACCTGTATACTCCATTTAATATCACTTTGCCCAGAAAATTCATATTTCTTAATTTGCTCATCCTAAAAAGGGTAATAAACCATTTTCACAATGAGGTATAAACTTTAAGATGCTAAATATTCCCCACGTCCTCCCCTCAGGCAGGCTATCTGCTGCCTTCTCTGCGCAGGAGCAGGGCTGATAGGCCATCCCTCTATTGGGACACTTCCCACTATGGTATTATGATCTCTCTCTCTTTCTCTCTCCCCCCCAGAGACTGATGGGCACTCCTAGGCTGACGTCCCTCGAGGGCACAGACTGTGGCTCTCACCTGCTCTTCTCACATCCTCAGGGCTCAGCACAGAATGTGCTTGTGAAATGTTTGTGGGCTGAGCTACAAAACGTCCTGAGAGTGATGTTAACTCACTGAAGCCCTTCTCCAACACATGAGGTGTTATTCCAAAGAGACTTTATAGCTTTTGAATGAAATAACCTTACTTCGAGTCCTTAGGTAAGCTCACCTTATGTCAAATTCCACCAGAGCTGATGTAGTACGTTCTATTTATTTACAGATAACTTCTAAGGCTCCTTGGACTTTCTGACTTCTGTTCTAAGTCTCCTTTTCCGTACTAAAGCTATCCTAACATGCTTTTCCAGCTTGCCATGTGGTGACTGTGGAAGTTGGCTGAGTCTTCAGGTCTGGGTTGGGGGCATTTACACTCTCTTCCAACCTGCTTTTCACTGAGTCTACGCCTGACAGGTAACCAGTAACCTCTCCCACATTGCAGCCCTTCTCCCACTGGAATGGAGTCCCCTCCCTGACTGATCTCTAGCTGAGTCAAGGGTTGTCAGTTGGGGTCCTCAATTTTTCTCCCCTACTCCTGACTTTAGGAGACATCATCCAGTTCTTGCAGCCATTTCTGATTGTCACAAGCAGGTACAATGTCACTGGCATCTAGTGGGCAGAGGCCAGGAGTGCTGCTGAAATCCTACAATGCTAAGAACAGCTCTTTGACAACAAAGAATTATCCATCCTAAAATGTCCACGCACTGAGGCTGAAAAAGCTTGAATTTTAAAATTGAGGCATCTTGACATGTGATTATCACGTAATGATTTCTTATTTGTATATACCATTGTTAAAGCTTCACCACAGTAAGTCTGGTTGATATCCGCACAGAGACACACATAGAAATTTTTTTCTTGTGATGAGAACTTTTAAAGAAAAAAACCTGAATCAGGTTAAGACAAACCAAAAAGGTAGGGAGAGGGAGAATAATTCACACCATTAAAATTTTTAAAAAGACAATGTATTTTAGGGCAATACAGTGGGGGGGGGCGGGGGGAGAATAAGGACTTTTAGGGTCAGAACAATCTGGATGCAAGTCATGGCTTTATAAGCAGTGGTAACTTTTATACATAAGACTGATGTGGGGATGAAATAAAGTAACTTAGTGGGTGCTAATAAAAGTGGGCTGTTGTCTTCCACCCACATCCACCCTTTTCTGACACTGGTAATTCATGGGGTTAGTTAAAAGCCATGCTTTTTGTTTTTGAATTTAAGTGACTTATCTCTGAGCTTCCTCCAGAGATAAGTTTTTAATCTCTGGAAACTACAATTTTTTAAAATAGACAAATCCTCAAGCTGGAAATAGTCCTGGAGATCCTCACTCCTAAACTGAGATAATGTTTACACTTATTGTTTTGCCACAAAATTCACTTTTATAGCACAGAATCCAAGGAAAACCAGTTTTCTGTGTGTGTTTTGATCTCAAATGGGGCAGAAAGCTATCAAAATATCTTGTTGACTTGACTTTGGGTTATTTATTCCATCTTACAGGTGGTGTGAAGATTTTTTTTAAAAGCTCAACTGGATCATTTTGTTTTTGGTCACATTTGAAAACATAACTACTCTTTTTCAAATAACCCCCATTTCATCAGTCTCTGAAATCTAAACATTTCCTGTGACTTTTAACATGCTCAATTTGACCAATTTTCTGACCAAAACATGTATCTCTAGTTCAGTTGGCTACGACAAAACTCAGTGTTTCCTTAACACTCTGGTAAAGCTGTTAGAAAAAAAAAACCCACGGCTTTTCACCTTGCTTTTTCTGACAGTCAACTTCTAATGACCTACTCTGGATGTGTAGGAGGATGTACCCTGTGTTGTGTGTAAGACTGATTTCCATGTACAAAGGAAAAATGAAAGTTAAAAAAATTTTTTTCAAGCTTCAAACATTTGGGTGGTGTGTTTTAAGTCAAACTATCGACTGATGAAGATCTAATCTCCCTTTTTTCCCAGAAACATCTTTTCTAGAAATTTTCATAAGCTGCCTCGTTTTGAAGATGCCTCACGCTTCAAATTTTTTCATTTATTAAATATCACGTGGGTATTCTTTACATAACTGTACATCTGAAAATGTTTCTTCTAAAGCTAGATTTTACTTCTTTTGGTTCAAGCACCCAAATTCAGTTAAAACAGTGCAAGGCAAAAAAATTATCAGTAAAAAGAAAAGAATTGGGAGGGAATAAAGCCTTTGACTGTGTGGATCACAATAAACTGGAAAATTCTTAAAGAGATGGGAATACCAGACCATCTGACCTGTCTCTTGAGAAACCTGTATGCAGGTCAGGAAGCAACAGTTAGAACTGGACATGGAATAACAGACTGGTTCCAAATAGGAAAAGGAGTATGTCAAGGCTGTATACTGTCACCCTGCTTATTTAACTTATATGCAGAGTACATCATGAGAAACACTGGGCTAGATGAAGCACAAGCTGGAATCAAGATTGCCGGGAGAAATATCAATAACCTCAGATATGCAGATGACACCACCCTTATGGCAGAAAGTGAAGAGGAACTAAAAAGCCTCTTGATGAAAGTGAAAGAGGAGAGTGAAAAAGTTGGCTTAAAGCTCAACATTCAGAAAACTAAGATCATGGCATCTGGTCCCATCACTTCATGGCAAATAGATTGGGAAACAGTGGCAACAGTGTCAGACTTTATTTTTTAGGGCTCCAAAATCACTGCAGATGGTGACTGCAGCCATGGAATTAAAAGAGTAATCCCTGAAAGCAAAGTTATGACCAACCTAGACAGCATATTAAAAAGCAGAGACATTACTTTGCCAACAAAGGTCCGTCTAGTCAAGGCTATGGTTTTTCCAGTGGTCATGTATGGATGTGAGAGTTGGATGGTGAAGAAAGCTGAGCACCAAAAAATTGATGCTTTTGAACTGTGGTGTTGGAGAAGACACTTGAGAGTCCCTTGGACTCCAAAGAGATCCAACCAGTCCATCCTAGAGGAGATCAGTCCTGGGTGTTCACTGGAAGGACTGATGCTGAAGCTGAAACTCCAATACTTTGGCCACCTGATGCAAAGAACTGACTCGTTGGAAAAGACCCTGATGCTGGGAAGGTTTGAGGGCAGGAGGAGAAGGGGACGACAGATGAGATGGCTGAATGGCATCACCGACTCGATGGACATGGGTTTGGGTAGACTCCGGAGGTTAGTGATGAACAGAGAGGCCTGGAGTGCTGTGATTCATGGGGTCGCAAAGAGTCGGACACGACTAAGCAACTGAACTGAAGTGAAAGGGTCTAAGAGATTCCAGAAGCTGATGTAGAAGATGACTTGCTGGAATGATGGCAAGTAAATTTATATTTTTATAGTTGTATTCTGTATGGCAAAGAGGGAAGGAACTAATAGTTAAGGTACCATTTGGTTAAATTAATGGATGCCATTTAACCAATGGTGTGCTAAGAGTTGACTTGAATTGGCTCACAATTCTTCCCAAGTGGTAACACATTGGTAACATGAAATTAATCACATAGGAATATTTACACTACAGAAATGGGGAAATGCTACAAACCAGGGCTTCCCCCCACTTCTCCAAGAATTGGTTTACCAGCACACTACTAAATATAATAATATCATGATGTTGAAAGCGTTAGTCACTCAATTGTGTCCAACTCTTTGTGACCTCATGGACTATACTGTCCGTGGAATTCTCCAGGCAAGAATACTGGAGTGGGTTGCCATTTCCTTCTCCAGGAGATCTTCCCAACCCAGGGATCAAACCTGGTTCTCCCACATTGCAGGCAGATTCTTTACAGTGTGGTTATGTGGCTCAGCTTGTAAAGAATCCTCCTGCAATGCGGGAGACCTGGGTTCAATCCCTGGATTGGGAAGATCCCCTGGAGAAGGGAAAGGCTACCCACTCCAGCATTCTGGCCTGGAGAATTCCATGAACTGTATAGTTAGTCCACGGGGTCACAAAGAGTCGGACACGACTGAGTGACTTTCACTTTCACTTTACTTGATAAAATATGGCATGAAAAAGACAAGCAAGCAAGAAAGGAATGAAGACAGAAAGAAAAGAAGGGAAAAGATCAGAAGAGACCTTTGCTAAATGACAGGTTTATAAGTACGTTTTCAACTAGTCCAGATGTATTAGATGTAGCCAATGGCAAGGTCGGAGAAAGATGACAGATGAGCAGAATCAGAGAAATCCCAAGATGTTTCTCTCCTGTGCAATCTGCAGGCCCAAGAGGCTCATGGCTGTGATGCCAGCCAATGTACCTGCAGGCAGACAGGCAGAGACACCCTGCTTAGGAGACAAACATCAAAGGCCTGCCCTCTTACAAGAAGAGCACACATGGAAGTGTGCGTGATTTCCGAGCTCCCTCCAAACCAAGAACGCTGCACGTTTAAGCTCAAGTGTTTTGTGCTTTAACCTGAAACACAAAGGTAAGAACCGTCTTTCCCTCTGTGTATTTCCAGGTCTCTGACACTCACCACAATCGAGAAGCTGTCGTAACTCGGCCGGGCTGCTGGAGCTCTGTGTTCTGTATAGAGTTGAACATTCCAGACCTAGGGCACAAAACAGACTGAGTATGCAAAACACAGGTCTCTGGGGAACCTGCAAGCCTGCAGCCAGAGAGACATTCCAGTTTTCATCCAGTGTCTATTCTAGATGTGTACCAAGCATTCTTGGAAGTCAACTCCCACTATTCATCTTATTTGGCATATCAATAATTTTGGCAAAATCATCTGACCACTGAGGAACAAGTTAATTCCATTTATTAAAACAGGGAGAATTTAAAAGTTTCCATATAGTAACTATGCATCAGTATGGAGTGAGAAGTCAGAGCAAGACTATCTCCCCAAGTCACGGCCACAAACAGCTTATGTATCCAGCACAGGTGGCAGGAAGTGGATTCAATGAACATCCACGCAACAGATATAAATGGTAACACCCACGAGATCAGGCCATAACCCGTGAGCTGATGTCCCTGATCAGTTGGATTACCTTTCTTTTCAATGGCTTCCACGAGCTTGATAAGAAGCGGTGGAGCGACGTCAGGGGGTGCGAACTGCTCTGCAAGGTCCGGGAGAGTGGAAGCTGCAAGCACAAACAATCCTGCGGTTACGTTTGATCGAGGGTAATCCAGTGCAGTCAAGAGCAGTGGAAACGATCCCAACACGAGGTCACGGACTGCAATCACGACAGCAGCAAGCTCAGGCCAGGACGAAAGAGAGAGCCTGCTCGGGGCCCTGTGTTTATTAGAAGGCTCCTCTCAGGCCACCACGCTCCAGCGCTGCCTCTTCCCACGAGTGAGCTGCCTGGGGGACACACCTGCTGCTCCTCTCCTAGGACACAATCAGAAGGCTCCCCAGAAGCCCAGATCCCCTGCCTCAGCGGCTTCTCGGGTCTCTGCCTCAGGTCCATCCTTCTGAGCGCAGACCTTGCTCCGGCGTGCCCCACTGGCCCGAGGCATGGGCTGGGGCAGAGGGGAGCGGGCTCAGGATGGAAGGGAGCCTGGCCGTGCAAGGTTCCAGCGGCACGGGGCCAAGCCAGGCGTGGACCAGCTCTTCACATGCCACCACACTCTCAGGCAGAACTCGGAACTCAAGAAATCTAAATTCAAATCCAGCTTCCCGGTCATCGTGAAGAAATAACTGTCAATGTAGGAGGCTGGAACCGCTTTTATCAAACCGTCTGTCAATGTGATTTTTAATTTTCAAATATTCAGATGCAAGTCGCTTGGGCCTCCTTTGTGTTTTGGCCCAAGCTCCACAAATGCCAAGGTGGGTTTAATATCAAACACGAAGCAGGTACAAATGATCACTGGCCACCCAACACTCCAGTCCCCATGGACCTGCTATTGAAATGCCTTTATTGGCTTACACATGTTTTGGTCAGTCAGTCAACAGCTTAACACATGTGATACTGTCACAAAAGTATTCTTTCCACACTTTTATTTACATGTTTTACCAAATGATGACAAAAGAAAAAAAATCTAATTGGGTGACACACATAATGTCCTTCAACATTTGGTAACTGTATTTTTCACTCCAAAAAAAATATATGAATACCTTTCTCATAAGACACCAGAAGAGGGAGCTAAATATACGCACCTCAAATTTCTCAAAATGCAAAATATAGGTAAATGACAGTCTTTATGAAAATACCTACCTGTGCAGTCTATTTATCAGCCACCCATAAATCACTTTTAGACACTTAAGGTTCATGGCTGTATATGTACTATCACATAGTTTATATAATCTGACTAAATATTGACAATTTTGTTTCAATGAGATTTCAGTGGTGTGACTTTTTAAGCCATATATCATGTTAAGCAAATTTCTAATGCAGCCCATCTTTCTAATAGTGAGTTAGCACAGAGAAACAACAGATTCACAAGACAATAGTCAAGTAATATTATGTTAAACTTTGACTTCAGAAAATTAAGTATTGTTGATGTGATATTGGAAACCCAGAGCCTGTAGTATAAGACCCTTCTCTTCCCTGAGATAGTAACGTAGTTTTGCCACCTAACTCTGTTAGCCACACCAACTACCGAGGATAAAAAGAAAAGAGCTATGTTACGGAAGAAAATCCTATAGCAGCACTCTCCAGAAGAACCTGCTGTGATGAGGGAAATGATCTATTAGCTGTGCTACCCAGCAAGGGCTCTGAGCACGTGGAATGTAACTGCTGCCAACAGAAGAAGAGAATTTTTCATGTCTACTGATTTAAAATGAAATAGCTGTAAACAACTACTGACCACAGTCCTGAAGAGCAGAGTCCCATAGCCTCAACAAGGGCAAGTTTCGTCAAAAGCACATGAAAGATTTCTGAGTTGACCTCATACTACAAAAACCCCACTGTAGGGCCAGTCCTGAGCACCCAGCATTGGTACATGGGACTCGACAACGTCTGAAGACAGGGCACACAAAGTTTATCACTGAGCTTCCTGGGCCACTTTGTCCTACTGCAACAGCACTTGAACATACTTTGCACTTCATAAAAGCAAGGCAGGCATGCTACTGACTTGCCAGACAGTCACGATGCAGAGCCGAGTGGGAACTTCGTCTCACCTGTTTTTCTGCCACCAACCTGAGCCTAAGGATCACCTGGAGAACTCGTCATGCAGACAGACTGCTGGTACAACTACAACCCCCAGAATCAGAATATCCAAGAATGGAGCTAGTCATCTGTTTTGGGTTAGTAATAAGTTTTAGGACATGCTATTATGAGAAGCAAATCCATGCAAGTGACTGCTACCCACTGCCTGAAAAAAAACCCAGCAATGCCATTGCCCAAATCTGTTAAAATATGAGTATACCTGAAAAGTCCTTAAAATAGAAGTATCTTGGGGTGGGGGGAGGGATACATTAGGAGATTGGGATTAACATATACACACTACTATATATAAAATAGATAATCAACAAGGACCTACCGTATATCACAGGGAACTCAGTATTTTGCAATAACCTGTACAGAGGAAAATCTGAAGACTATATACATATATATATGAAACTGAGTTGCTTGCTATGCTGCACACCTGAAGTTAACATGATACTGTAAATCAACTATTCTTTAGTAAAAAATGCAAATATCTTGAAAGTTTCTTTTTAACTAGTCTTTTAGTTAAAAGCACTGTAAATTAAAAAAAAAATACCATAAAAGAGCACAGCTTCTCATTTCCTCTGATAAACTATGAACTATTTCCTTTTGCCTTAGATTATCAGCTCACAAAACTATCCTCCCCTACAGATGCCTTCTACACTGAGCAAAATGAAATTTCCTATCAGCACATGTAACAGGAGAAGAACACAAAGGTAGAGATCAGATGTAGAGAAATATTATTAATTAGGACTGACTGTAGCATCTCTTAACCTTCTCAAACTTACAGATCTCAGCATATACCAAAGTGCAAAAAGCTAAAGATTAAATAGTAAACACACGAACCCACATATCTGCACAACATTCATCCAACTAACATGTCTAGTTCCTCTTTCTCTTCCCTCATAAATTACAGAAGCATTTTTTTAATTAAAAAAAAAAGTTAAAGTTGGCAACCAAAGATGGAATTGCTTAATAAAAGTTTATCTTCTCCCAGAATCTTATCAACATGATCATTTCTGCAAGCAAATATGAAAGTTAAATTAAGTGATAATTAAAGAGTTCACCTAACTGTGATTGAAATGTGGACACAACAGTTGTTATATTACTGGGCTGGCAAATACTACATATAAAATTGTTTCTACCACTCTTATTTCTTCACTTTACTTTGAAGGAGGGGAAAAAAAAATCTTTTCTAAGTCCTTTCAATGTTTCTTTGGCAAAACATGGTAGTTTGCTTTCCATATCCTGAGATGCAAAGTATCATTTGTTTCATGCATACAAGTGTAACGTGAAGTTTCTAAAAAGCACTGTGATGGCTTTCTCAAACAACACCTTTCTCAAAGTACACCCCAGAATATTTTAAAAAGAAAAATACTAGACGTATGCAGTAGGAAGTACAGGTACTCCTTTGTAACACACTGAGTGAATTTATCACTGATTTTTTTTTTTTAATATTGAAGAAAGCTTATTACTCAAATGTATTAATCATTACAACTGATTAAAGTTTTGCAATGGGAGTTTTAAAAAGTAAATTTTACAAAGACACAAGGTTTTTTAAAAATAACAATGCAAGGATTTCCTATTCTATAGTACAATATCTATGATTCAGTCCATTTCCTTTTAAAATATTTAAACATAGGGGATGTGGAAGCTTTACCCAAGAAACTTCTGAAGTTCACCTTCTCTACTTTGAGTAATAGGCTCAATTAACAGTGAAAGTCTAAAAAGCATTTTAAAGCAAAATATTAATTATTTCAACAATCCTAAAATCAACTATTCTTTTAATTTTATTAAATACTCAAGGTCAATATTTATACTTCTGTTAGATCCCATTTTAAAGAATTTCAGCAGGAAATGACAACTGCTAGGAAGTACCAAATTTGGCAAATCGTTCTTTGAAAAGTCCTTGATAACGTACATCATACAGGTCAATAAACTAAAACATAATGGAACTCATAGACACATACACACAATATAGAGGTCATATATGGTGACCATTAAACCAAACACAAATTAGCAGAGCATAATCCTTACCAAGTTTACATATAAATTCTTATTTGATTTCACCTTACAGACAGATTTGTATACCTGAATGAGGAATGTTTTCTGGTTTTGAATCCTGCTGTAATCAGTGTACACGTGTGGAGAGCCAAGTATACTCTTAAAGCTGGGTGAATTTTAGATTCCTCCACTGTAAGCCAACACCAGTTTTTCATTTAGCTGAATCACTTTTCATCAAAAGAAATCAGTATTACTTAGAGAGAAAGAAGACAAGAAAGAACAGCAGAAGGCTCTAAAAGTGATGGTAAAGCCACGATGTGTCTTGTTTCGGAAAAAAAAAAGAAAAAAAAAGGAGGAATCAGCGTTTTACAGGAACACCAATGAACTATTCATACTGTTTAAGAGCCCACTCATTGGAAAAGATCCTGATGCTGGGAAAGACTGAGGGCAGGAAAAGGGGGCAACAAATGGACGAGATGGTTGGATGGCATCACCGACTCAATGGACATGAGTTTGAGCAACCTCCAGGAGATAGTGAAGGGCAGGGAAGCCTGGCATGCTGCAGTTCCAAGGGATCGCAGAGTCACATGCTACTGAGCGACTGAACAACAAACTAATGAACTAGGTGTCCCGGGCTGTAGAAAAGCATTCTTGAGGACACATCAGTCAGTCAGTTCAGCCACTCAAGTCGTGTCCGACTCTTTGCAACCCCATGGACTTCAGCACACCAGGCTTCCCTGTCCATCACCAACTCCCAGGGCCTGCTCAAACTCAACAGATGCCGCATTTTCCACTAGTTTTATTTCCCTCCCTTTGCCCTGGTGACAACCAATCGCATGGAACAGGAGAGAGCCTTCCCTCCCAATGGAGGCCCTTCCCAAATCACCAACATGGACAGGCCTGAACAGTCCTTGGGCGCCAGTGGTGTGTGGGAGACTGTGGCATTCCTAACGTTCAGCAGTGCCAACGCCACTGCAGAGTGCAAGATG